CTTATTCCACTGAGCCATCTCCCCGGCCCCAAAATAAACATTTTTAATAACATTCTATGTAGTATATAACTGCTAATATTTTGATTTATCTTTTTTCAGGAGCAGGAGTTTGATGAAGAATAGAAGAATTTCTGACTGTTTACATGATATACAAGTCCACCCAGTTCAGAATCTGTGTTCTTCACATCCATCAGGTATTTTTTTTTTTTTTTCCACCAGATTTTCTTGGTGAGAAAAGCACTAAGTCTGGCTCTATCATGAATTTATTTTGTGCTCTTGTGCAAATCATCTCATTTCTTAGAAGCTTATTTTTCCTCTATAAAGCGAGGAGTATAGATTAGATAGATGGCCTCTTGTATAGTAAAATTCTGTACTCTGATATATATTTTTAAGATCTGGGTTTTATCCATAGTACTACAGGAAAGAAGAAAGGAAGAAAAAGAGGAAGGGAGAAAGAAAGATAGGAAAGGAGGGAGGGAAGGAAGTGGGAAAGGGAAAGGAAAGGAAAAAATGGTTTAATAGGCATAGCAATTACTACTTTGAATAATTACTGTGTACTAGCATTCATTTTACCCATAAAAGGAAGGATATATTTGTATGTGTAACTATCTATAATAATTTAAAAATTACTTCTGAGCACTGTAGTGGACATCTGTAGTCACAGCTACTCAGGAGGCTGAGGAGGAGCATTGTTTAAGCCCATGCATTGAGGGTTAGCCTGGACAAAAAAAAAAACACAAAACAAAACAGTAGATTGTGGGTGGGGGCACATGCCTGTAATCCCAGTACTTGGGAAGCTAAAACAGGAGGATCACTGAGTCCAGGCTGTGTAGTGAGACCCTGTAGACCCTGTACTAAATAGATTAAAAAAAAAAAAAATTACTACCTGTAATGTACTACTGGGCAATAATAACAAGGGAGTAATGACTGATTCATGCAAAAACCCGGGTGAATTTCCAAAATAGAATGTTAAGTGAAAGGCACATATACAAAATATATATTGTGTAATTCCATTTTCATGAAGCTTATGAACAAGCAAAACTAATCTATTGTGACAGAAGTGACTGTAGTTCTGATTAGAATAGTGGCTACATATGGAGGGGGTTATTGACCAGGAGGAGGAATCCTGTTGGAAGCGCCTGGTAGAAGTGTTATACATGTTGATCTAAGTCAGGGTATTGAGACATACATATATACTTTACAGTGTATACATACATTAGGAAATAAAAAAGTTTTAGTAATGTATTAATTTTTTGGTCATGGTCCTAATGGAATATGAGTGGCCATAAAAGGAATATATATCTTATCTTGACTTTAAGAAATTTGAGTTTCCTTTTTTTAATCATAAAATTATCTTTTGGTAAGAATTATAATACTACTAAGGTAGATTAAAATATGCAATATGCTTTTTATCTACTAGCAAAATAAAAAGGTACATACCTAGTAGCAATTTACTTATTCACTACTATTTATGTTATACAAAAGTAATTTTCACAGGAAGCTTGTTATCCTGTAGCTTTGGGTTTTGTAGATTTTTTCCCCCCGTAATTTTCCCAAATTTGTATCTTTGTTTCTTGGAGGAATCGAGGATTGAACTCAGGCCCTTGTGTTTGCCAGGGAAGTGCTTATTCTACTGAGCCATCTCCCTGGCCCTCTGTATCTTTGTTCTAGACCAATGATAGTGAACCTTTTAGAGCTTTCAATGATACCAGCAGCCCGCTGCGGCATATGTGCCATAGCTTCGCGCCACTATTCTAGATTTTCAATGTTCCCCATTCTGTTAGCTTATGAACTTTATTCTACTTTCCTTTTTTGTTTGCCACTTTTAATCACCTGTGGTTCCAAGATATGAATTAAAACATTATTGATGCAAGTAAAAACAGCCAGTGAAAACAGCACGTCAAGGAAATCAAAGGAGAGTTGCTAGCAGGAATTCAGTTAGTACCATCAAATACTGCAAAATAGGTCAGAAATTTAAACACTTTGAAACGAGTGATTGACAAGTCACGTTTGATTTCTAAAAAGGCCATTCCAGGGCAGGGCAAAGTACTGTAACAGATGTAGTAGACAAATCTCTCCCTCTCACCATTTAAGAATAAAATGCACGGATGATAATGATTTTATTTCAGATAATATGGTATGAATATTTATTAAGGCCAAAGCAACAATTCTTCCCATTGTGCTTTGACATAAATTAAAAATAGGTCTGTTATTTAATTTAATTTAGATATTAAATACCACCTCTGGCTCTGTAAAGGAGGCAAAATCAGCTGTTTAATAAAGACTCAGTGTCCTCTAGTGTGTAACTAAGTTTTATGATTTATGGAAAGGGTTTGATTTCACATCATTCAATGATGGATTTTTTTAAAAAAATATAACATACTCCTCATTCTTTCCTACTCAAAACTATTAAAAGATGTATCTATTTTAATCAATCTATTGTGTTATAAATGGTCAAAACTAGGAATATCATAACAACTCCTCATTTGTGCACAGTATATTAGACTGATTGCTTTTAAAGGAAGAATCACAAACAATTGGAGTCAGCTATACTACTTTCCTTGAATTAAACATTTTTAAAAAATGATAATAAGTAGCATTACAAAGTCTGCCAAAAAATGCACACACACACTTCAGCAGTTTGCCATCATAAAGAGCCGGAAGCTGATGGCCTCCGCTGTGAACACCGCGTGTAACTGTAAAGGCCTCAGATAACTGGTGTTGATCTCATAAGGACTCAATAAACTTAGTGTTGAAATATTTAAAAAAAAAATCACCTGTGGACTGGGCCAGAAAATAATATTGCGTATTAAGTGAGAATTATTCTCACATTTTAGTACTCCTTGATAAAGTTATTTCTGGAGGATCTGAATGCATTCTAGCAAGTGTTTCATTTACTTCTATTTCAGACAGTGCTTTGTGAAAGTCTCTTAACTATAGATAATCAATAGACTTTAACCTGTCTTGACTGTAATATATCATGAGAAGGAACTATTCTAAAGTAGAGATTCTAATAGATTCTTTAGTATACAATATATTGTTGCCTCTGTTTCCAGCTTATGTGTTAGATTTCTAATTTCATTGTATGTAATTTCCATTATTTCACCAATTTATAGTTTCTTAGATGTTACAGAAAACCCCTACCAAAAAGTAAATAAAGAAGAGTATACCAGTAGATACATAGGATATTTAGATGTTTGTTACACATATAATGGTTGAGAAACTACTCAACCTAAGACCTGATGCTTTTGTGAAGTGAATTAATAACTACACACAGAACACTTCACTTTGGCATTTTGAAGTTAGAATAGCCTACTTTGAATTTATTGACCAATGATTTTATATGCTTGAACATACAATACCTAAAAACTAGGCTTAAGAGGGCTATTTTCTGATAATATAGGTTTAATGGAGAAATCAAGCACCATTTACTCAACTTCAGCAGAATCATTTCTTCCTGGAATATGCAAAGAATTGATTGGTTCATCAATGAATTTTCTTGGACATAGTTTTGATGAAGAAAAAACTATAGCAGATAGCCTGATGAATAATCTTCTAAAAATTTATAATGGGCTACTTGTCATCTCCAAAGCTCATGAAGAACAAGATGAAGAAAGTCAAGATAACTGTAAGCAATCTGACTGCTTTACTAGATCACATGATGATTGTTTTGTGCATATTATACTTCGTTTTGAGTTATTTTACACATTTGCCAGACATCTGTTATCTACTGTAAAATATTTCAATGTTTATATGTGAATTATTTTATTTGGAGGTTATTTTTCCAATAATTTTCCTTCTTTCAAAGTGTTCTCTTCAGATCGAGCAGTCCAGTCACTTACTATCCAGATTGCTTGCTCTTTTGAGCAGCTTGTGGTTTTAATCAAACACTGGCTGAATGATTTTCTCCCTTGTACCTGCATAACAAAACTCGAAGATGAATTGAGACAAGAAGTTAAAAAACTGGGAGGGTACTTACAGTTATTTTTGCAGGTAAACTGATTTTTATTACTGGAAAATTTTATTCAGTAAATATTTTTTCTTCAGTTTTTATTAGTAGTACATCATTAGTATGTACTTTGCCATACATAATTACAGTTCTTGTGAAGAGCTGGTACATGTATCTAACACATCTCAATTCTTTTGTCATGTATTACCTCCCCTTCCTCTCCTGTCCCTCTATGTCTCAATCTCTGTCAAATGTGAAAAAGAACTGCTGTACTACTATTTCCCTACTTTCTAATACCTATCTTGCCTTTTGTTTGTTATATGTATTTTGGATTTCCAAAGAAGAGAAACTAAAATATTTAAGCTTGTTTGTCTGGTTTATGTCAATTAATATTATGATCGCAAGGTGCAACAATTTTCCTATAAATGACTCAAGTTGTCTTTCTATAGGAAAGAATAGCACTCCAGAGTATATAAATAGCACTTTTTATTATCCATTCATTTGTTGATGGATAAAGGCTGCTTCCAACATAAAGGCTGCTTCCAATATTTAGTTACATGAGTTGTGCTGCTATGAGCATAGGCATGTATATATCTCTGTAATGTATTTTTAACTCTTTTTTTTTTTTCTTTGTATTTTAGAGAAGGGTCTATAGGGTGTTCAGAGTCTCACTACTAGATCAGACTCGTAGTGATCTGCCTGTTTACAGCCTCCCAAGAGCTGGGATTACAGGCGTGCGCCAGCTTGCCGAGTCTCAATTGCTGTCTCAGCACGCCCCAGGGGCAAGGATGGCACTGCACCTTTAACTCTTGGAAAGATGCTTAGAGGGAGGAATAACTGGGTGAAATGGAATTTTTAGTTTTAGTTTTGAGGAATCTAATTTTGCATTACTTTGTGTACTCACCAATAATGTAAAGGGTTCCTTTTTCCATAACCTCACCAGCATTTATTATTATTTGACTTCTTGATGATAACCATTCTTTCTGAAGTCAGATGAAAATCTCAGGGTTGTTTTAATTTGGATTTCTCTAATAGCCAGTGATGAACTTTTTTTTTTTTGTACTTACTATTTGTATTTCTTCCAGAAAGTGTCTACTTAATATTGTTAAATTCTTTATATATTCTAGTTAATAATCTTCTGTCTAAGGTATAGCTGGCAGAATTTTTTTCCCCTTTCATTTCTCTCTGTTGGATGTTTTAATGTACAGAAACTTTAATTTGATATGATCCCTTTTGTTGATTCTTGGTACTATTTCTTGTACCATTGGGGTTTGTTTTAAAAAGTTCTTGCTTCTGCTGTCAAGAGTTTTATTTATTTGATCTTCCAGCAGATTGTTTCTCATTTTGAGTTTAGCTTAGTCCATGGTGAGATATGCATCTAGATACAAACTTTGCATGTGGATAGCCAAATTTCCCAGCACCATTTATTAAAGAGGCTGTCTTTTCTCCACTGTGTGTTTTTGACCCCTTTGTTAATGATCAAATAGTCAAATCTGTGGGTTTTTCTGCCACGTCTGTTCTGTTCCATTGATTCACATTTGTTTTTCTGCCTGTACCATACTGTTTTTGTCATTGTAATTTTGTTAAATAACTTCAGATCTGGGATTGTGATAGCTCTTGCTTTTGTTACTTTGGTTCCACAGGAATTTTTGACTTTCAGTCTATGAATTTCTTTTTGGGTTAGGTATGTTTCTTGTACACAGAACATTGTTGGATTTGTTTCTTGTTCTACTCTGCTAATTTGTGTCTTGATTGGTGAATTGAGATCATTTACATTGATGGTTATAACTTATAGGTATTGATTTATTCTTTGTCATTGTATTATTTTACTCTGGTTGTTTCCCTTCTGCTTAATTTCTCACCCTACCTGGTGTATTTATTTTATTGGGACTTTTAATAGTGTTAGCATCATCATATCCTTCTAGGATGTCCTTGAGAGTGTCTTGGAGTGCTGGTTTGGTGGTCATGAATTTCTTTAGGTGCTTTTCATCATCATGGAGATATGACTAGAAGTGTTAGAGCTGGCTTTGAAACTAGGCAGTCTTGCTATTAGGAAGAGGCCACACCTTCCTCTGACTATTCATTTTAGTTCATGATCACATAGTCATAAGACTGCTGACACAGAAGCAAAGAAAATAATTGTTTTCTGCTTACTTGTATCAGGTAGAAGTTGGTTTGGCTGTGAGGAAGAAGCGAGATGAAAGTCTTCTTTATCAGTGCAGAGAACCCCAGGTGCACTGGGCTGGCCCTGAAACAGGGTGTGGTGGTGCACAACTATAATCCCAGTGCTGGGGAGGCTGAGACAGGAGGATGACTGAGTTCTAACTGTGTAGTGAGATCCTATACGTAAAACAGAAAAGCTGGAGGTAGACATAAGAAGCTGTGTTCCACAAAGTCCAAAGGTTCCAGGCTCCTTCCCAGCCTACCCCTCTGCTGGACCTGAAGTGTGGCCCTGGATTTTGTGGTTGATTGTGATGTGGCTCATCTGAGCTCAGTACTCCAGGGTGGAAGAAATGACAGTGAATAAAGAGACAAGTTTGTCTTCATCAAGGGAAGCATCTGGAAATTACCATATGGTGCTTCTATTTACATATTCTTGAACTTTATCATCTGACCCCTCGCTAAATTAGTGTGACCTTTGGCAAATGCTTGTTTGAGTTTCCTATTTTTACTTGGAAAATGAAAAGCACTACCAACCTGACAGAGTTGCTGTGACTACCAGATGAAATCATATTGTAAAAAAGTTCCTGTAAGCTGGGAAATGTTTTACATAAGCCCTCAAGGATGGAGATGTAGGGGACTGGTAGGCTGCTGTGGTTCAGCTCAGAAGAGAATTGTGTGAAATCGGCAAAACAGGTGTTATGGCCTCTGGAAGCATGGTTGGAGAATCCTTACCTTGTGGCAATATGATGAGCATCTTCCAAAAAGCAGGGCAAGAGAAGTATTTAAGAAGTACTGATAGTGTTTAGGCAAGGTATCATGTCTGCATCTTGTACTCTGAATAACTATGAAGACAACAATGTGCAATGTATTCTTGTAACTATCCTACCAACCTGTTTTAAAACTGTCTCATTGCTATTTCTTTCTCATTAAAATTAAAATTAAAACAAAACAAAACAAAACAAAACAAAAAAAGTAAGGGGAGCAGGGAACAGAAAGAAGCAAGTTCTACTGCTAAGCTCCATTTCCGGCCCCTATCTTGTCTATGCTTTACTGTCCCTTTATGATCCCGTATACCTGACATCTGATCCATTTCTGTCTTCCAGGGCTGCTGTTCAGATATTTCATCAATGGTAAAAGAAGCTCTAAAGAAAGCAATCCAAATCATACAACAAGCTGTGAAATACGTGGGAAAGTTAGCAGTTCTAAAAGGGAACAAATTACATTTTCTGGAAAGCAATAATGATAAGGCTGCCAATATCCAGGTAATTTTGCAATGTTAGTTTTCATCTGAAGATTTCATCTGAAAGAATATTAGAGACTTCTGGTGATACTGCCACTAAAAGTGACAAATGATTTTATTTTTCAAAATGTATATTTTTAATATTTTGACAATACAATTTAAAATTTTTTCAATCTATATCAATGGGCTGGGGAGATAGCTCGGTGGTCTAAGCACCTGCCTGGCAAGCGCAAAGTCCTAAATTCATGATCCGCAGTACCTCTTGCCCTGCTGGCCCCAGTACCTCAGGTGCACTGGGCTGGCCCTGAAACAGCATGTGGTGGTGCCCAACTATAATCCCAGCACTGGGGAGGCTGAGACAGGAGGATGAGTATGAGTCCTAACTGTGTAGTGAGACCCTGTGTGTAAAACAGAAAAACAAAAATCTATATTGGTTAAATATACTAAATAATTTTATAAATATTAGTTTACCTTTTAGATTCTTAGTTTGATGATAGCCATCTACCGTGGTAAATTTTCTTATTCGGTAAGTACCTGAAAAACTGTAATTATAGGAAATTTATATTTGCTTGCTTTAATTATTTTTGTTAATGGAACACAATATTATATTAAAATGTTACTGTGTTCTAGCAAAATAGTATATACTGCCTAAAATGATGCTCTGTACCACATATTATATATGGAACACTAAATTATAGTTTTGTTAATTTTATTTCTTAATAGACTTTTTATTCTAGCTTCAGTTGAAGCTCATCAATAAAGCCTATTTACCTTATAGTTTTAAAAATGCAAAAATCAGAATTTACCAGTTAATGCTGAAATTCCTTTTCTAGGAGGAATTCATAAATGCTGTTTGTGATGGTGTAGGCTCAGGAATGAAGATTCTATTAGATTCTGGTGTGGAAAAAGCAAAAGAACTTCAGCATGACCTCTTACGGGAATGTGCACAAAATGAGGTATGATGAATGAAAGAATGTACTATAGGGCACCAGATAATGACCAAGTTAATTTTTAAAAAGAGTTTAACACAGTGAATTGGAGTTTTAGAAGTTTGAGTATTCTAGTTTGTGTTAAAGTATTAGGCTGGTGATGTCTGATGTCATAGTAACCTCTTCCCAAATTCTTGAGCCTGCTGCAGCCACTGCCTCTGCTTGCTTAACCTTTTGATGGTTTTGATGAAGATGTTTCAGGGAGTTCAGTCTGAAGATGCACTAAGCAGGGTGGAGCGTTTGCTCTCAGGTTGTCTTTCTCTTTCTTTAAGTCTCTACTCTTTAGCGAAGAATGAAAACTCATTTGTTGATCCAGTTATCTTGAACTTTGTTCAATATTTTCCAAGGGGAATTAACATCAGTTATTTCATTATCAAAACACAGAGCCAAAGAGATTTCAGTGTATTCCTAAAGTACCTTTCTTCCCTACAGCTAACATTAATTTAAACATTAATTTAAAGCATGAAAACAGGGCTGTCATACAGAGGGCCTTAGGAAAGATCTGGATTTTGATATGAGGCCAATATTTGAAACCTGGGTCTAACACTTTCTGTTTACTATTTTGCAAATCACTCAGTACTCTCACCTTGTTTCTTCATCTGATAAATGTAATAAAACAGATTGTGAAGTATCTATTTGTTGAATTATTTCCTATGTAGTTACTAGACCGCATGCTTTATGTATACTAAAGGTGAACCTCACAGCTTTTGAAGGTAGGCGTTACTAGTATCCCTTTGTGTTTTGGTGAGTTTGAGTTCCTTGTCTGACAACCAACTATAAAGCCCTGAGGCCAACATTTTATACTGTCCAATTCTAAAACTTACCATAAGTAAATCATTATTATGGATTCATTTTCTTTAGTGAGATTTATTATTAGTGAAATGGGGATTAGGGATATAAAAATTAAAATTTTATGACACTGAATTCCAGAGAATTCATTGTCCTAGAATCTTAATGACAACTTGTTAAAACCATCCCCTTGTCTTGCTGGAGTCAAATGGCCAGGGTGGGGCTATGTGTAGGCATTTATTTAGGCTCCTGAGATCTTCCTTACTAGTATGTCTACTAATTTACATACATGTTGATTAATCTAGAAAAGTAGACCATGTGGAGCACTGATGTCTTCTACCTAGCTCTGGATGACTATTTCCAGGAAGGCATGGAGTAAGCTAGATTTTTCTTTTCTTTTGCCTTCTTTTTAGGAAAACCTTGGCATTAATGTATTTCTGGTTCAAAAGCCACAACAATTCTCCATCCCTCTCCACAGACCCCAGGGATAAAGAGACTTATCTCTGTCAGACAGATTATCTCAGACTCAGAAAAACATGGACAGCAAACTATCTTTCTGGTTCCCATATAACACTGAATAATGTATCTGTGCTTCAGTCCTTCCACTATAAAAATGAAGCTGATTATACTTATTGCATAAAATTGTTCTGAAAATTGTATGAGACTAAGAAACAGTATATATTCTAAAAATAGTGCTTGGCAAATCTTCAGTCATACATATGGCTTGCACCTGTTCTTTTTCTCTCACAAAAGGAGCTCACATTGTCCCTAAACCAAGAGCTTTGTCTGATCATGCTTCAATAGGCATGAGGCTGATTTGGGTTCTATAATGGAACTTTGAGCAAAGGATCATATTGGACTAAAATATTTTATCTACTACTAGAATTTTGTCAGTAAAGTTTTTGCAGGCAATAAGTACAAAAAGGCATAGGAAAAGTAAATGGAAATAGAAGTAAAAATAATGTATGTGAACTTGTCCTTGTTAGTAGGCTTTTAGAATAAATATAGATGTTAACTTTGTTATTGGTTTAAGGAAATAAACAGAAAAAGGGTCAGGTGCACCTTGTATATCATTTGTATTATTGACATCGGCCTGTAGAACACTGTCCTCATTCTTCAATTTCCTTGTTCTCTTTGCCATAGCTGTACCTTTTTTATTAATTTTTCCCCTTTAATTTTTTCTCATTGTCATTTTGTTTCTTAGTATTAAGATATGTTTGAAATACATATGTTTTTATGTTCCTTGTGGGGATGTGGTACATATAAGGGTTGGAGTTATAATTTTAAAGCTATAATTAAGTTTAAAATTATAATTTTAAATAAAATTCTGTTATTAAAGGAAAACATTCAGTTTTTTAAAAAAAAATCATAAATGAGTTAGCCCTTCAAAAAAGCTATACAGGTGAAGCTAATTAAATACTTAGGCAGAATCCCCTGACAATTTAAATTGCACCCTAGGGGGCAGCATTGAGCAGGGTAAAAACAAAAGTTTGTAATTTAGTCTAAGGCTCCTACCCTGGTTATGTTTTAGGAATTAAATCCTAGGATCTGAAGACATTATCATATGTAGCACAAGGCTGTTCAGAATAAAAATAACTAAACATTTCTAATTCTTAGAGCATAATATTTGCTTCATATGTTACATTTATTCTGAGGGAACTTTTGGAAATTTCATGCTTATAAATATATAAATTTAAAAATTCTATTATAATAACAGATATCATCAGGTGTACCTATTTAGTGTAGAATTCAATGTGTAACTTATTTTGAAAGAAATTCCATTTATATAATTTAGGTGTGCACAGTGTTTTACTTGTAATCTTCGATAGAACTTTAATCTTCTGCCTTCTAGGCTAGAAGTTTTTTTTTTTTTTTTTATCTAGTCACATTCAGTTTGAGGATATTTGTATTTCTAAGTAACTGTGTAATGAAGTATTTAAATGTTTTTATAGGTTGCCAAACAGATGAAAACAAATGCCATAGAACTGATCAGATCTCTTGAAAATACCTTTTCTGAATGGAAAATAGTAAGAGAATCTTTCATTTTTTAAATTTTGTTTAGTGTATTTTATTATTTTACTTTGACTCAATTGTAGACTTCCTTTTGTTTTTAATCCCTAGCCAGACAACTAATTTGTATATGTTTATTTGTATATGTTTAGAAGCATATATGACAGTTTTCTAGCTTTCACTTAGGCACCATAACTTCTAGTTTTAGTAACAGATATAATGTAAAAATTTGTTTATTAATATTTTATGTCTGTTTCTTAAGCTATTGGTTTAGTAACTTTCTTTTTTTTTTATTTTTTAAAATATTTATTTATTACATTTATTTATTGTGTGTGTGTGTGTGTGGCCAGCTCAGCCCACCAGGGGGCGGGTTTGGCTGGCATGTGGTGCTGGGGATCGAACCGCGGTCCCTGTGCTTTGCCAAGCTTGTTTCAAGTAGGTGCTTTAGACCACTGAGCCATCTCTCCAGCCCCTAGTAACTTTCATCTTTGCTTGAATAGTTTGTTGTCATAGACTAAAAACTTTAATTATCAGTGTGCTCAAGATTTTAAATATAGGTGAATTAGACATTATCTAATAAAAATAAATACAAAAATACAGACTAAGTATATAAGGGATGTATTAAAAGTACAGTAATTTCTATGCAATTTTGAAATGTTTTTAAGTATATAATTGATGTGTTTTAAGTAATGTTCTAATCAATCTAATCAATGTGTTTTAAGCAATAACTTTTCAGTATATAATCAAGGTTAAAAGAGTAATTTCTAAGTAATTTTGAAATGTTTTATTTAAATAAAATAGGGAATGTTTTACACTTGCATTCTTAAAAGTTAAATATCTTTTATGGTAGGGTAATAAATGGAATGGTTGTTTTATTCCATTCTCAAGTAATGGAAAAATAGAATTTTAATTTCAAGTAGTTGAAAATTCCCATTTCTTTTGAAAAATGGCAGTTGTTAATTTGTATTTTGGTCTTGTTTGTAGAAATGGAGCTAAATATTGGTAAGGAAATTAAACTTTGTTAAAGATAAGATCCTGGCAGTTAATCCGGTTGACTGAGTTTACTGCTGTGGTTTATGTGGTTTTTTTTTTTTTTAAGCATTATTTTATTTACACAGAAAAGCTTCAGAACTCACGTGCAAGAAGGTGATTCTGGATACCTGGATTCCAAGAAGATAATTGAATTTGCTCTAAAATTTTTGAAGTTAAAGCACTGCATAGAGAAAGCTGTTCAAATTAATATTTCCGCACTAAGAGGTATATGCTCTGAGTGAAATTTGTAATAAGAATTCTATAATTCAAGGGTTCTTAAACATTTTTCCTTTTTTTCCTAGCCTAAGTTATTAATAAGTCCACCTAATGTCACTTCATTGATAAAGTTCCAGTATAGGAACTTGTGTAAATTGATTTTCCACCTGTTATGTATGTACTCCTGCCTACATAATTAAAAAGCAGGTACTTATCTAGCAGATTAGCACTTTTGCTGAATAGTCTTAGTTTCTAATTGTCTTGAAAGTGTCACTTTGACTTAAAAGATATCTACAGTCATGTAACAGTAATAGCCACCTGATAAAAACTGAAAAGGGTAACGCCCTTTTGCCTTTCTTACATAGGATGCTGCAGCGATGTACCTCTCCTCAAGAATTGTATTGAAATGATTTGCAGCTTGGTCAGTGATGTTTGCCATGACTTTGGTGAACTCTCTACCTCTGTTGACGGCTGTGAGAATTACATATCTCGAGTTGGCCACAGTGAACTAGAATCTGTAGCTAAGTCACTCCTCTTATGTTTTGAATCTGAAGAAAGACCTGATTTATTGAAACCCTGGGAATCTTGCATTCAAGATACCACAGGAGAAGAAGAAAGAAAAGAATCTAACTCGAGCCAGACTGGCTACAAGAGGAATAAAACTGTACCAAAGCGTGTCTATGAACTGCACCAGGCATCCCCTGCAGTGAGCTCAGAAGTATGCACACCTGGTCGGATTCAGTGGGTGTGACTGCCAAGGCTTTGCACTTGGTGACCATCCATGAGAAAGGGAGGAGGTAATTTTCCTTACGCAGGAGAACATAAAAAGAAATCAGGGTAATTAGTTCAGTGAAGTCCATGTGTTTTGGTGGCCCTACATGGGCTGTGAATAGTATGAATATTACAGGATTCTGGTTTCAGAATTCCTGAATGTGTACTCAGAAGCTTCTAAGCAGAGTTTTAAACAGGGTATTTATGATGTAGGGATACTGAGGCAACAGAATGAAATCTAGGATTCAGGACCACCTGAATGGTCATGTCTCCCATTTTCTCATTGCCTTAAATTTTAAATATTTGTCTTTTCATTGATGTGCTATCTCTGGCTGGTTTGTTAGTGTGTTTGTAGATGGTTATTTCCTTCTGAACAGAAACCTGAGTATTTATCTTTATTCCTGTGCCTTCTCTTTTTGCAAATAGCTCAGATAGGATTTGTAATAAAACTGCCAATGCAAGTGTAAATAAGACAGCTTACTCGGCATTGTTAACTCGAAAACTTCTTTCTGTAGGGTTCACTGGTTTGCCATTTTGAGTCATATAGTGAAGGCATAATTTTCTTTGCTAGTTATAAGTAACTACCTAAATGTACTGTAAGTATATATTAATACTATGGCTTGCTGATATTTTAATAATTTAAAGTAATTAAATGTTGCCAGAATCATACCTGAGAGAGATGAGTGGTTGGCCCCTTTTCTTGATGTTCGTTTTGTTAAAGGTGTAATGAAAGTTTGTATATAATATGATGGAGAGTAAAGATCTGTATTATAGTTCACAGCTTTAAAGACCTTTGTGATCATATAATAAAGATAATAGTCTACTTGTAAGATTTTTACATTACAGAAATAGCTTGACATTTTCATCTCAAAAATATAGTTTGAAAAGATATTTAGTATCTCTCCTTGGGTGACATCAAGCAATCCTTGAACCATTCTTTGAAATAACTTGATCCTTTCATTTACCCCTTTCATCTGTGGGTGCTGTGTGTATTTTGTTTTGTTTTGTTTAACCAGGAATTGAACTCATGACCTCACACTTGCCGGGCAGCTGTGCCACTGAGTTATACCCTCGTTGCATGTACATTTGACATAAGTAGTTAAAGCTGGCCATTAGTACCTTGAGTAAACCTGATATTTCCTTATTAGGGAGAGATTGAAAATACTGGTCATGATAGAATGGTATTAATGAATCATATTTTTTTCAAGTGCTTTAAAATGGCACAGTGTAGCAAATTTGCATTCATTTTCTTTTTAGCATTTGAGCTTGTATTCTTTCTGAAGTTCCATATAGCCTGCTCCCCTGTCTATAGTGAGTTATGCCTGGAATAAAAATACAAGTTTTGAGTTGAATGTATTTTTTTACTCATTTGGAATGTGAATCTCACCAAGTGTGAATTTCACTAATTACATTACTTTAGACAAGTTACTTAGTCTTCACTCCTAATTCCTCATTTGCAGAAAGAAAAATAATACCATTTGATGTCCTATGTATATGAGCACTATGTGAGAAAAATATGGGAAAAACTCCTGGTGAGTAGTAGAGTATTAGTCAGTGTTAGTGTCTGTTTTTCTCTCCATTAGCTATACAACTCTTGTTGTATATACAAGATCATGCTTCATGCAAGCATATGTTGATGTACCAACTTGTACTGCAATCCATAGAACATGCTTATTTGAAAATATAAGGGCTGGCCAAATAGCTCAAGGGCCAGCCAAATGGCTCAGCACATTAAAGCGCCTGCAAACAGGCACAGGAGCCAGGGGTTCGATCCCTGGGCCTGCCGTGCTGGCCCCACCCCCGGGGCGTGCTGAGATGGCAATTAAGACTGGGCATGGTGGTGCATCCTGTAGTCCCAGTTCTTAGGAGGCTGTAAACAGGTGGATCACTACGAGTCCGATCTAGTAGTGAGACTCTGAATCCCCTGTAGACCCTTCCCTAAAATACAAAAAAAAAAAAAGAAAACGTATCTGCCAACATTTTATGAAAAGTGTCTTACTGTTATTAAGTGATATATAGTATGGAATGGATGTGTCTTTTGTGGGAGCCATCTGAAATTTTTAAAGAAAGTGTTTTGTATAGTTAGTTAACTAGCATATATGAATTTGCAGAGTGTACCCGTATGCCAATAATCATCTTAAATTTTTGCCTAAAGGTAGAAAGTAAGAATTCACTTCTCATAAATGAGAGGAAAAGATTTCAAAAGTTTGGTTCAGGGCTGGTGAGATGGCTCAGTAGTCTAAAGCACCTACTTAGAACAAGCTTAGCAAGGCACAGGGATTGCGGTTCACTCCCCCAGCACCACATGCCAGCCAGCCCCGCCCCCTGGTGGTCTGAGCTGGCCACACACACACACACACACACACACACACACACTCTTAAATAAATAAATAGAATTTTTTAAAAGTTTGGTTAAATTAAAAGAGGTTAATGTGAGTCAGGGATGGTGGTAGATGCATGTATTCGTAGCATTTAAGAGGTTGAGGCAGGCGTGTTATGGTTTATATATAGATGTCCCCCAAATCCTCATGCTCTTATAGGTGGTGCTTTGAGGGTGTTTGGATCCTGGGGATGTGATGCCCATCATTGGATTAGTCTGTTGATGAGTTTGTAGCTAAGTATGGTGTTGTGAGGTGAAGTGTGATCAGAGGATGTGGATCACTGGGGGCGTGGCCCAGGAGTTGCATCTTCCTCCCTCTTCCTTTGATCCCTCTCTGCTTTCTACTGCTGCCACACCCCTATGCCATGCCATTCTGCCTCAGAGCCTGCTAACCATGGGCCAAAGCCTTTACAAACTGAGTAAAATCAATCTCTCCTCCTTTAACTTACAGGTGTCAGATATTTTTGTCTGAGCAATGAGAAAGTAACACAAGAAAGATCAAGAGGGTCAGGAATATAGTTCAGGGGCACAGTGCCTGCTTGGCAAACATGAGGTCCTGAGTTTGAATCCTGGTGAAAAAAAAAAAAAAAAAAAAAGATCAAAGAGTTTGAGGTGAGCCTAGGTTATATAGTGAGATCCTGTCTCAAGACAAACAAGGGCTGGGGAGACAGCTCAATAGAATAAGCACTTGCCTGGCAAGCGCAAGGTCCTAAGTTCAATCCCCAGTACCAAAAAAAAAAAAAAAAAAAAAAAAAATCAAAACAAACAAAAGAGATTGATGTGCCCAGAGCTCTGTGTAGGCCTCATTGTGCTCTAGATTTTTATAAGTTGTAGTCATTGCATGATTTAATCAAGACTGAATTTTTTATCTTTTAACAAAAATAATAACTTAAAGAGATTTTAGATGTGGAACATGGGCATTTGCTTTGCTTTACTATCACCTGATAGCTAGATTTATTCACTTTCCAACAGTTATTTACTTAATGCTAGGTAAATTTTTGATGTTCAGTCATTAAAAAGCCAAAGAAAACACATCTGTAATCCCAGAACTCAGGAGGCTGAGGCAGGAGGATCACTGAGAGCTCAAGGCAGGCCTTTGCTACAAAGTGAGGTCAAGACCAGTCTGAACTTCATAGTGAAACAGTCTCAAAAAAACAAAAATTAATTAATAAAATAAAACCCCAAAGATTAGATTGACTCATATTATGGCTTTTTGAAAGGCCTGGCTTGCTGGATCCTCAGCTGCTCATAACATTATATTTTCTCAATGCAAATGACCTCTAGACATACTGACTTTGACCCTACAAGAGAACCACCAGAGCATTGCTGATTTATTCAAAAGTGAATTGTTTTGAATAAACAAATGGCATCTAGAGACCATCAGTACTTTTGCTGATTGGCCCTGAGCTTAGAAAATCATAGGTTCTCATTCAGAATCTAACATTTTTTAGACTTTCTCTTTTAAAAAAATTTTTAATTTTTTAAATGTATTTAGTATAGGGTCTACAGGGTCTCAATATGTAGATCAGACTCATAGTGATTCTCCTGTTTTCAGCCTCCCAAGCTCTGGAATTACAGGCATGTGCCATGCCCAGTCTCAATCACTACCCCAGGGGCAGGGCAGGCATGACATGTTGGGGATCAAACCCTGGCCGCTGCACTTTGCCTAAGCAGGCACTTTAGTCTGTTGAGCTATCCAGCTGGCCCTAGACTAATGTAAGCATCCTACTATTTCTTCTATATGTCATCCTGAAATGTCCCAAGGGGCATTATCCCCTTCCCTCCAAAAAAAAAAATAATCAGAGCTCACACTTCCTAGGTGTGCTGTAACTTTATTAAGTACTTACACTGGTTTAGTGTTTTCCAAACATGATTTGTGTTGTGAACATTAATGCAAATCAAAATGAAGACAACAGAGGGGTTAAGTAAGTAGCATAGGATTCTGGTTTGTTGAACACCAAAGCCTGCACTTTTTGCCACTGTCTTACGCTGCTACAGTTCACCATTTATATTACATTTAGCTTTTGCTCCTTACTCTCATCTCAGCTATGTTCACTTTATCTTTTTTCCATACAGTCTTGCTGTTGTCACTAAGGCTGGCCTCAAACTCCCTGGCTCAAAGGATCTTCTGCCTCATTGTCCAAGTAGCTGGGCCTCCAGGCATGTGCTACTACACCTGGCTCAATTACTTTTAAACAGAACAGTATCATTTTGCAAGATCTTTAGAATAACACAAGAGTTAGCACATCTGAAATTTTTGCCTCAGTATTCTTTCTAACTTTTCTGAGTTTTCATATCTTCCCTCATCTGTTGGGCATTATATCCCTTTTTTATTCTGATACTAAGTGGTAGAGAAATGTAAAGAATGCTGTCCCCTTGCAAATTCACCTCAGCCCGCACCATGTGACCAGAAATGTGTCCAAACCTTAATCATAACTTAGATAATGGGAATCAGATTAAGCAAAATCAAATGCATTAGACACTGAGGAAAATGTAAAGAAGAACAGCCCAAGCCCCTTAGGAAAATCGGCAAGAAGCTTGGAGTTATTTGCAGAGCAGAGCTTTCCGTAGTCTTCTCAAGAGCAAATAATCTCAGGATCTTGTAATTCCCCTTCGCCTGTCTGCACTACTAGTGCTTTCATTATACCATCTCCTCACTGCAGACCTCCTCCCTGGCCTTGCTCCTTTGATACTGTTCTGCCCCCTTCCTACTTACCTCCTTCCTATCTCTGCTGTAGGAGCAAGGCTCGGGCTTAATGTCCATTACCCACATTCTCCTTAAGCATCTCAAAGGCTCTTCTGTCTGAGAATTCCACAAGTCTCACAGGCTCCTCCTTCATTCCCATTCTTCTCTTCTTTTGTCTCGTCAAATACATATTTTGTTTCTCATATTTCTTTCCAACTACTCTATCACTCTCTCACAGTTTCAGAATCTTAGGTATCACTCGTCTACCTTTTGCTTCCCCCTATCCAACTGGGCAATTCTGTTGACTACCTTCTTGAAGTCTCTTGCTTCTCACTATGATGTGGATGTTAAGTGTCCCCCAAAGGCCGCTACATGAGCAGCTTGGTGTCCTGGTTGTACTGTTGGTA